GGGTGTTGTGGTGGGTATTGGGTGTAGGATGCTGGTGGAGCAATCTTGACTTTTAACTGCCCTCTGGGCAATTAGGGATGGGCAATAAATGCTGACCTAGCCAACGATGCCCTCATCCTGTGAATGAATAAAAAAACGCTTAAAGTTCAGACTAAGTGATTGGAATGTGAGAATGGCAGAACAATGGTGTGTCTCCTGCCAGACTTGAAAGGCCAACACTGGGATGGGGGGAGGGGAAAAACGACATGGTAACAAGCTAAAAGAAAGGGTAGAAATAGTTCACAATTTGAACTCAATATTACGTCCAGAAGGCTGTCAAGTGCCTAGTCTGAAGATGAGATGTTGTTCCTCCAGTTTGTGCTGTGATTCACTGGAAGACTGCAGCATAGTGTTGCTGATGTGGCTTCCTTCTTCCATAACCGTGGTTTTCTGCCCACTGTGGTTGACAGGGCCCTCAACCACATTCGACCTATCACCCGTGTTTCCACCCTTGCCCCTTCCCATCACTCACAACAGTGTGGTTGGGTCACCGTTGTTCTCACAACGGGGGAAGACATGTGGGCATGCAAGCAGAATGCTGTGTTAAAATGATCAGCTATGAGAAGATCAGGGTCATGCTTGTGCACAGACCGGAGGTGTTCTGCAAAGTGGCCACGTAGTCTGCGTTTTATTTCTCCAGTGTAAGTAGGCGGCATTAGGTGCAGCGAATACAATACACAAGATTGGAAGTGGTACAGGTGAAATGCTGCTTCACCTGGAAAGATTGTTTAAACCCTTGGATAGTGAGCAGGGAGGAGGTGAAGGGGCAGGTGTTGCACCTTCTGCAATTACATTGGAAGAGGGGCTGGAGTGCTGGTGGTTATGGAACGGACTAAGGTGTCCCAGAGGGAACGGTTCCTGTGAAATGCAGATGGGGGGAATGAGGGGAAGATGTGTTTGGTGATGACATTCTGCTGGAGTTGTCTGAAATAGCAGAGAAAGATTCTTTGCATGTGGAGACTGGAGGGATGAGAAGTGAGAACAACGGTGACCCAACCACACTGTTGTGAGTGATGGGAAGGGGCAAAGGTGGAAACACGGGTGATAGGTCGGATGTGGTTGAGGGCCCTGTCAACCACAGTGGGCAGAAAACCACGGTTATGGAAGAAGGAAGCCACATCAGCAACACTATTTTGGGAGGTGGCATTGTCTGAATAGATATGATGTAGGCGAAGGAACTGAGAGAAATGGGATGGAATCCTTTCAGGGGTGGGAAGAGCTGTAGTGAAGGTAGCTATGGGAGTCGGTGGCTTTGTAGTTGATGGCAGTGGATAGTTTATTCCCCGCAATGGAGACAGAGAAGTCAAGGAAAGGATGGGAAGTGTTTGAAATAGACGATGTGAAAGTTATAGAGGGGTGGAAATTGGAGGCAAAATGAATGAAGTTTTCAAAGTCAAGGTGGGAGCATGAACTGGTACCAAAACAGTCATTGATATACTGAGAAGGGAGTTGTGGGAGGGGGGCAGTGTAGGACTGGAATAAGGATTGTTCCACATACCCCATAAAGAGGCTGACATAACTGGGACCCGTGCGGGTGGCCATAGCCACTCCTTTGACTGAGCAGAAGTGAGATGAATTCAAGGAGAAATTGAGAGCTATGATAAAGAGTCTCTTGAAGAGACATTAACCAAGGAAGCTTGTATCAAGTGAATGCAGAGGAATGCTGGAAAGAAACCAAGTATAGGTGTGCCCTCTAGATACAGAAATTTAAAGTGGAAGCAGAGTGTTGCTTAACTGAACAAATTCAGAAGTTGCTTGAAAAGCTCAGCAGGTCTGGCAGCATCTGTGTAGAAAAGGTCAGAGTTAACGTTTCGGGTCCAGTGACCCTTCCTCAGAACCGGTTCTGAGCAAAGGTCACCGGGCCCGAAATGTTAATTCTAATTTTTTTCTCCACAGATGCTGCCAGATCTGCTGAGCTTTTCCAGCAACTTCTGATTTTGTTCCTGATTTACAGCATCTGCAGTTCGTTCAGTTGCTTCACTGAAGTTTGAGTATCTGTACGGTTGTGGTTGAGGTCAAAAGGTTGAATCTTTATTTCTGATTTTTGTAAACATGATCATAAGATGTAGAAGCAGAAATAGGACATTCATCCCATCAAATCTGCTCTGCTTTTCAGTAAGATCATGGCTGATCTGATAATCCTCAAATCCATTTTCCTGCCTTTTTCCCCATAACCCTTGATTCCCTCACTGATTAAAAACCTGTCTACTTCAGCCTTGAATGTACTTAATGACCCATCCTTGACAGTCCTCTGCAGTAATTTTGGGACCTAAACTCTCCCATGTCCCAGCCCCCCACCCCACACACCAGGCCTTGTCACCACATAGCCTGCCATTACACAGGTATTGTGTTGTTAGTCACTAACAGTTCCCATCAACAACTATTCACCCTCCCAGCCTGATCATTAGCAACTCCTTTGTCTGTCCAACTGTCTTTCTCTCTCTTTGGGCTCTATCCTATCGTTTACTCCCTACCCCACCCACCTCCCTATAAACTGACATTTTCCCAGCCACCATCAGTTCTGAGGAAGGGTCACCGGACCTGAAACGTTAACTCTGTTTTCTCCTTCACAGATGCTGCCAGACCTGCTGAGCTTTTCCAGCAAATTTGTTTTTGTCCCAGAATATCTTCCTTGGGTAAGGGGACCAAAACTGCTCACACTATTCCAGCTGTGGTCTGGCTAGTGCTTTGTACAGTTTTAGCAAAGTTTCCCGACTTTTATACTCCATTACCTTTTGAAATAAAAACTAACATTCCACTTGCTTACCCTATTACATGCGGAACTTTTATGCCAGTTTTTTTCATATATGCCTTTTCTTTAAACCAACCATTGGCCACTTAGATTAACGGGAAAATGGGAGTTTGCATGTTCTCCCTGTGCTTGTGTGGGTTGCCTTCGGGTGCTCCAGTTTCCTCTCTCAGTCCAAAGATGTGCAGGTTAAGTGAATTGGCCATGCTAAATTACCTCATAATGTCTTGGGATGTGTAGGCCAGGTTCTCATTTCTCATTTACATAAAGTAAAAGGAAAGCTTAAGTATATCAATCCAGGTCTCAGTCTGGGATCTGATTTGTCCAATCTTACCATCACCTGGGGTCATAAGGAAAGCAAATGGAATATTGGCCTTTATTGTAATGGGCACCGAAGATAAAAATAAGATGACTGACTACCCTTGACATCAAGGCCATGTTTGGTCAAGTGTGGCATTAAGGAACCCTAGCAAAACTAGAGTCTATAGGAATCAGGAAGAAAACTCTGTTGTTTGGAATCTTACCTGGCACATAGGAAGATGGTTGTGGTTGTTGGAAGTCAATCATATCAACTCCAGGACATCTCTGCAGGAGTTCCTCAGGATAGTGTCCTAGGCCCAACCATCTTCAGCTGCTTCATAATGACCTTCCCTCCATTGTAATGTCAGAAAAGGGATGTTTGCTGATTATTGCACAACGTTCAGTATCGTTCGCAACTCCTTAGATACTGAAGCAGTTTAAATGCAACAAGATCTGGACAATATCCGAATTTGGGCTGAAAAGTGGTAGGTCATATTTGCGCCACATAAATGTCAATCAATGACCCTCTCCGACAAAAGAAAGTCTAACCATTCCCTTTTGACTACCATTACACTCATTGAATCCCACTCTGAACATTCTGGTGGCTGCCACTGACCAGAATTTGACTGGCAATTCTGCAATGACTAACTCACCACCTGACTTCCCAAAGTCTATCCACTATCTACAAGGCAGAGTGTGATGGAATACTGTACACTGTTCACTCTCTCCACCACCAACACTCAGTAGCAGTGGTGTGTATCATCTACAAGATGCACTGCAGAAATTCACCAAGGCACCTTGACAGTACCTTCTAAATCCACAACCAAGGCTACCAAAAAAGAGAAGGACCTACACGTAAACATCACCACCTGCAGGTTCCACCCTAAGTGACACATCATCATGTTTTGAAATATATCACAATTCCTTCACTGTCTCCTTGTATTAATTCCTTGTAATCTTTTAAAGCAGAGTCCATCTTTTTCATTTTCAGTCCGCAGTCCAAACCAATAAGAAGTTGTGGTTTGTTACATTTAGGGAACTGCAGATGATATCTATTCTCCTGAGTATATTTCCCTATTTTCAATTCACTGAGTGTCTGTCTGTCTGTCTGTCTCTTTCTATTTCATACTGCTGCATTCTGGCTCTCATTTCTCTGCTCACCTTGTTTAACCAATGATATTGTAAGAGTGATGCTTGTTTGGGACATGCTAATTGATACTATCACTATATATACCACAGGACTGCTCACATCCCTGTCTTTGTTCGGATGGCTCCTCGCCAGTCAGACTGGAGTTATGCAGGACTGAAGGGGCTCATTCCCACTGTTCTTCACTACAGCTTGCTAGGATACAGTTTCTTCATTCCGGATGCTGTAGGTAATGTAGCAACAACAGGAGCCAATTGGCAGCACAGTCAGAATTAATTTCTCTCTTCATCCTCTAAGCATTTCTCTTTCCCTCTTAAATTCAAACACTCCCAAAGCAGGAGTAGAACTGTGTTAGATACAGAGTAAAGCTCTGTCCAATGTATTATCAGAGGGATCATTGATTTCATGGTTGTCTTTAACATTTCTCTTCTGTAATTCATCTTTGAACGTGCTCTAGATGCCGAGAGCCGGGCTCCTCTCCTGTGGGAGTGCCGGGTATCAGAGTTTCACTGTAGAGGGAATAGTATAAGAGAAACATTCAAGGTTTCATCCTGCATTTATTACTATATCAAAAACATTTTGCAGTTACCTTTGTCAAAGAAAATTCCACCTTCTTGATGATGTAATCACTTATCCCTTTTACGCATACCAACTTGACACATTAAAATTGAAGTATTCAGGAATGAGTACTGTGACCTGGGGTTCTTCCAGGTGTTTTGTTTGTCTTGCAGTACAGTATTTCATCCACTGACTGTGCCTGTGACTTCTATCCCAAACTCCAATCCACTTGAAGAGAGAGTGGAAATTAAAGGGGAACTGGCCAAAATCTTCCAATCCAACTTCAGTTCAGGGCCTAATGGGTAAATGGGAATGTTACACCCTTGTTGAAAAAAGCAAACTAGAGGCCAGTTGGTGTAAACTTGGTGCTGCGAAAGGTTTGAGATCTGATCATCTGAAACAAACTGAACAGCGGCATAGATAAATTGTAATCAATTAGGGAAAGTCAGCATGGATTACTTAAAAGCAAATCATGTTTAAGTAAATAGATTGAATTATTTTTAATAAGGTGCCAGAGAGGGTTGATGAGGGTAACAGGGTACATGTGGTCTACGTGGTCCTCAAAGACATTTGATAAAATGCCTTTCGATAACGACTTTTGGATGCTTACAGCAGAAGAAGAGGCCATTGTGCTCCTCTTGTCCATGCTGGTGAACAATGATTGACTGCACTAATCTCATTTTCTGACTTTTGGACCAAAGCCCTGGAGTCTATGACAACTCAGGTGATTATCCAAATTCTGCTCGAATCTTTTAAGGCTGTATGACTTAACTCACCCCCACAACTTCAGGTACAGACTCATATCATCTGAGTGAAAAACATTCTACTCAACTCTCCTCTTCGCTTTCCACCTCTTACCTTAAATCTATGCCCCTGATTATTGACCACTCCATTTTCCAGTTACCTCCCACTTCAACACACCACCATGTTCCCTGGCCAACATTTCTGTCTTGGGCCTGCTGCAGTTCTCAAGTGAGGCTTAATGCAGGATGGAAGAACAGCATCTCATTTTCCACTTGGGGACCCTGCAAGCTCAGCACTCAATAGTGAGTTCAATCGTTTTAGGGTCTGAACACCTATGTCCTTATCCCAACTCCCACACACATGGGCTGCTATCACAAACAGCCCATTGTCAGCTACTAATGGTCTCCATTAGTAGCGATGCTGGCAAGGTGGCAGCTGCAGCTTTGGCTGTGTGGGGAGCCCAGATCGGAACTCCTAGTGATATTGCCGAGGCACAGAGGACCCCTGGTGGATCGACTGGACTTAGAACAAGGTCTCATTGCAGCCCAGAGACCAGAACAACATAGAGAAAGCCCAGAGACCTTAAGAAAATTAGAGCCGTGCTTGACAAGAAGGACTGTAAAGATGAACATTATTTCTTATTTTTCTGCCTTTATATTGTTCTGTCAATTGAACAAAAGATGAAGCTGTATTAAAGTAATTTCGTTTTATTCATTTTATAAACCAAAATGGCGCTGGATTGTGGCGACAAAACACTTTCATTGAATTTCCTGAATACACGTGTCAATAAAATGTTTGTTTGTTCTTTCATCCTTTCACTCATTTCATTCATCCATTCATTTCATTCATATATATGTCTTTTGTTGTGTTAGCCCTCCCCAATTGCATTATCCCTCCCCAATTGCATTATCGCTCACATTGCTGGGTTGAATTCCATTTGCCTGTGCTCTGCCCAGCTGACCAGTCTGTTGAAATCCTTCTGCAGTCTACAGTTATCCTTCTCACTCTTTACCACCCTACCAATTTTCATGTTATCCATGAAATTCTTGATTGTACCCCCATATTTACATTATTAATGAAACCCATAAACAGCAAGGGCCCCAACACTGAGCCCTGTGACACTGTACTGGAAACAAATTTCCAGTCATGGAAACATCCCTCTACCGCTACCCTCTTCCTCCTGCCTCTCAGCCAATTTTGGACCCAATCTGTCACTCTGTTTTGAATCCTTGGATTCTTACTTTCTTGACCAATCTTCCATGAGGGATCTTATGAAAAGCCTTGCTAACGTCCATGTAGACCACATCAAATGTATTACCCTTATCAACTCCTGGTTACTTTGTCAATAAATTTGATCAAATTTGTTGAATACAAGCTTTAACAAATCTAAGCTGTTTATCCCCTATTAGTCCATGTCTTTCCAAGTACAGACATATGCTGTCCCTCCAAATTCTTTCTAATAACTTGCCTAGCACAGAGATTAGACAGGACTGGCCTGTAGTTTCCTGGTCTATCTCCACTCCCTTTTTAAATAATGGCACAATGTTAACCATCCTTCAATCCTCTGGCACATTGCCTCCTCCAACAGCCCGGGATGTATCATAGTTAAAATTCCCACACATGGAGTTACCAGCCAAGGAGAAGCCCATGGAGTGAAAAAGCAAGTGTTATCAAGGAGAGAGCAAGCAGCGGTGAGTGCTTGTTTTCTGGGTTGGTGGATGGTATGTAGTGAAATTTCCCAGAGGTCAGTACTAGGACCACCCCTTTTCTCAGTGCACCTTTCCTAGGTCTGAGGGTGACCCAAAGCCGGGAGGTTTTGTCACCAATGATGAGATTGCTAAACTTCAATGGGTCATAGGTTGGTGTCACAGGTGGACAGAAGGCAGCTGAAATTCAACATGAAACAATACATTTTGGTCAGAAGAATATGAGAGGTGATGTACAATAATGGGTACAACTCTCAAGGAGGTAGGGGAGCAGAGAATCCTAGGTGTATATGTGTATCAGTCATTGAAAATAGCAAGGTGGGTTGACAAAATGGCTAGTAAAGCATACAGTATAAATAGGCTGTATAAATAGAGACACAGAGGATGGCATCAAGGAAACTGTGGTGAGCTTGTTTAAAGTGCTAGTTCAGCCTCAACTGGACTGTTGTGTCCTGATCTGGACGCCATACTATAGAAAGGATAAGAAGGTATTAGACAGGTTGCAGACAAGAACTATGTAATGGGATGAGGAAGTTCAGTTTGTAGATATAGTGGAGATGTTGGGATTGTTTTCCTTGTGATGAGAAGGTTGAAAGGAGATTTGTTAGAACTATACAAAATCATGATTCAGGATAGAGCAGATTTTGGAGAAACTGTTAACATTGGTGAAGGGTTGTGACCAGAGATGATGGATGTGAAAGACTGGGTAACTGATGGCAACATGAGACAGAACCTGTTTAATCAGTGACTGGCTATCTGAGGGTGAGGGGGTAGTGAATCAAGGATTTGAATTGAGCTGTCTGAGACTATAGGCAAGGTGGGTGGTCAATCAAGGCTTTCAAAAACAAATGGTCTAAACACTTCAGAAGAAGAGGAAATTGTGAGTACAAGAAAGACCGGTTGGTGGACAAGCTGAGAGAACAGCCATGCATATGACAGGTTGAATGGCATCCTTCTGAACTGCAAGCATTCTGTAATTCTATGAATGCAGAACATTCCAACACATAACTTGTCCAGTTGGTGTCACATGGCAATTGGTGAAGCCAAGTTCATGGGAATGATTTGATGCTGGTGACAGTGTACAGGTTCCTAGCAGTCTGCTGACAGAGGCACAAGATTGCCTCATCACTGAGGGCAGAACAAATGACATTGACCCCATGTGCAGAATCTCGCCATCAGTGGAAGGTCATGACAGCTTTCGTAGGCTACTTGCTTTTCTTTACTTAATTAGGGTGTTTGGTGGGGACAATGTTGACGGCGTTTTCGTCTGTATCTAACCTCGTGCTGTCCGTGTTCTGGAAGTGTTTAATGGGACAGTGCAAAGCAAGCCTTACTCTGTGTCTAACCCCATGCTGTATCTTTTCTGGGAGTGATTTTTAAAAATTAATATGTGGGATGCAGGCATCACTGGCTGGGCCAGAATTTATTGCCCATCCCTAGTTGCCCTTCAGAAGGTGGTGGTGAGCTGCCTTCTATAACTGCAGCAGTCCATGTACTGTTAATTGACCACAGTGCCATTAGGGAGGGTATTCCAGGATTTTGACACAGCAACACTGAAGGAATAGCAAAGTATTTCCAAGTCAGGATGATGATTGGCTTGGAAGGGAACTCTTAGGAGACGGTAGTCCTGTGTATCTGCTGCCCTTGTCCTTCTAGATGGAAGTGGTCATGAGCTTGGAAGGTGGGTTTGTGCTTAATGAGGACGGTGCAGGGGAAGCTTTACCCTGTATCTAACTCATAGAAAACCCAATCCTCAGATACTCATTCATGCATTTTGTTATCCTTTTGACCTTTTGTGGTCTGTTGAATTGTGAATAACTGAAAATACAAAAGAAGAGATTTACATCTGCAATTGAACAGCCCGTGTCACTCCAGACTATTATGTGCATTCATCAAAACATAGACAAGAAGAGGAAGAATAGGCCATTTGGCGCTTCAAGGCTGCTTCATTCATTATGATTATGGCTGATCATCCAACTGAAGAGCTTGTTCCTGCTTCTCCCCCAGACCATTTGATCCCTTTAGCCCCAAGTGTTATATCAACTCCTCCTTGAAATCCTACAATGTTTTGGCCTCAACTACTTCCAGAATTAGTGAATTGCACAGATTCACCACTCTTAGGGTGAAGAAATTTCTTTTCATCTCAGTCCTAAAAGATTTACCTTGTATCCTTAGACTGTGACAGGCTTTTGGACTCCCTAGTCAGTAGGAACATCTTTGTTGTTTCTACCCTCTGATCCTATTAGAATTTTATCAATTTATATGTGACCCCACCCCTGTCATTTTTCTTACTCCAGTGAAAGTAGTCCTAATTGATCCAGTCTATCTTCATTTGCCAGTCCTACCAAGCTTTATGAGACGAGGGAAAAGCTCTCTGATCTAGAGTCAACACAGCCTGTTGGCAGTTTCCTCGAGTGCACAATGCTTGAAGGCCAAGGAGAGTGTCCATTCTTCAGGCATGAATGGCCCAGTACTGAGACTCCTCCAGGCTGTGTTGTTCCACCTCCTCTGCTGGCTGATCTGCATGCCCCAGAAGGACGGTGGGGAGGGGGAATGGCTGAGACACTCAACAGCAATCCCCCCAACCTCCCCCCATCCCAGTCTCAGCTGAAATGACTGAGCTGACTGAAGCCCCCAACGCTCGGCCATTCGCTGTCCCAGCAGCTTCAAACTCCTGTACACACATATCTCCCCTTGGAAACTGTCACTGCCTTAAAAAAAATTACAAACATCACATTAAGCCCATTCTTCTGATATATTCAGATCTTTACCCCCACCCCCTCCAATGACAATCACTGACTGAACAAATTTTTCTACTGTCCTCTTTCTACCTCTTCCAACCAAGGTCTCCTCCCAAAATCAGAACTGATCTAGCCTTCGTTCCATTTAAAATTTAACCCTCGTTTCCCCATGATTGATTAGCCCATTATTAATAGCTGGTCAGCCAGTGATGTCTAACTGGTAATGTCTCATATAGCTTCATCTCAACCATTTACTCCCATAATCTATTTCTCTCACTTCCTGTCTCAGTGCCTACTGAGCGTGTCCACCGTCTACAAGGCACAAGCCAGGAGTATGATTGAATACTCCCCACTTGCCTGAATGGATGCAGCTCCAACAACACTCAAGAAGCTTGATATCATTTGGAACAAAGCAGCCTGTTTGATCACATTCACAATCATCCACTCCCTCCACCACCAACGCTCGGTAGCAGCAGTGTATATACGCGTCTATAAGATGCACTGCAAAAATTCACCAAAGATCCTTCGACAACACCTTCCGAACCCACAACTACTTCCATCTGGAAGGGTAAGGACAGCAGATACATTGAAAACACCACCCTCTTGCAAGTTCCCTTTCTAGCCATTCACCATCCTGACTTGGAAATATATCGGCCGGTCCTTCACGGTTGCTGGGTTAAAATACTGGAATTCCCTCCCTAATAGTATTGTGGATCTACATACAGCACAGAGACTGCAACAGTTCATGAAGCTTACTATCACCTTTTCAAGAGCAACTAGGGATGGGCAATAAATTTTGGCCAGCCAGTGAGGCCCACCTCCCAAGAATGAATTAAAAAAAAAACTTAAGGAGATTCTCTCTCTCTCTCTCTCACTGTTTCTCTCACTGCCCCTATGTCAGTGTCCACTCCCAGAATCCAGGGTCTGACACTGAAGCATACAACAGTCCTGCAAGTGGTGTGGCAGCAAATGGTAACCCCTCACAGTCTCAAAGTGATCTACAGGTATTATTAGGTGGTTCTGTGCTCCAACGCAACCTATTGGCTGACCTTCACATTGTGGTTTTTGACCTTGCAGGAGGCTCGCTGACAAAAGGATTCCTTGCGGATGAGGAACTATTTATTCGTTGGTTGCAGATCGTGACCTTCTTACCAGTAATGTCATTCAGTACCCCGCCTTGGGTCTTTGGTGAGAACTGGGTAAGAGATGATAGATAGGTGGAGAGGAGCTAACTAACGGCATTTGGATGAGGTTTTGAGGGTGTACACTAACTTCCAGTTTGTAACTCACTCCTGGGTGTCTGTTATTCGAAATATAAACCCCATTTCAAACCCCTCGATTAGATTCCAGTCTGTTACTCACTCTCAGGTATCTGTTATTCTATACATAAACCACCCTGAATGCATTGATTAGATTCCAGTCTGTAACTCTCACCTGGGTACCTACTATTCTATATATAAACCACCTCAAACTTCTTGGTTAGAGTCCAGTATGGAACTCACTCCAGGGTATCTGTTGTTCTATATAGATCCCTCCCCATAGGCCTGGATTATGAATCACTGTTGATTAGTGTGGCACTCTCTGTTGCAGATTGTGAATGTGACCCAGATGTGCATACAAAGACACCAGAGCTTTGTGGTGCCACTCATTATAAAACAGGCTGCAGAGCTGGCATCCCTTGGGCACCCTGTGTTTCGACCACTGTGGTGGGTCAGTCCAGATGACCCAAAGACATTGACTGTTGATGACGAGTTTCTGATTGGAGATGAGGTATGAGCATATGCTGTCAGTATGTTTGTGTCACAGGTTCCTGAGAGTAGCTTTTGCTCATTGCTTGTTGCCTGTCCTACTTGCATCCTTTGATGAAATACTAGGATTATTCCACAGATCACTTCCTGATGATTATGAATCTGCGGCCTTTCTGACATGCCAGGTATAAGGAGTTGGGCATGGGACTGGCAGTGAGGTGTTAGGAATAGGTTCCAAAGTTTGGGATGAGGTCATGTTTGTGGGGATATGTGGGAAGTTTGGAATGATATTGTAGTGGTCATTCTGGATGTAAGACAAGCACAAATGAGGTTTTCCACAGTCCACAAACAGAGGTAGTGGTGGGAATGGGTCAGTGTTCCACAGGGGGAAAAAGATTGTCTCAGTGATGGAGGAGGAACTGACTTCAAATGAGAAGCACAGAGTTAGTAGTTAGAATGTGTAGCAGGCACTAAGACAATGGCGTAAGTCTTCCAAATGTATAAATGAAGAAAAGTGTTGCGTATTCCAGGAGAAGACATTGGAAAAATAGCTTGAAAGCTGAGGCATTGAATGGGGTTGAGGTAGAGATGGCTATGGTCAATGTATGTATGGAAGCTGGTTCTTCAACTGACTTCCAGACAGGAGCATCAGTACAGACAAAAGTGAAGTGACCCTCCCTACATGGCCTGTCATAGTTCTGAGGCAGTTTTATACAGGCACACTAACGATTATTGCTGAGTACAGTGCCTGCTATGTGTAACCCATCTGTTTCCTGCACATAGGTACTGGTGGCACCGGTGACGGCACCAGGCAGAGTTCACAGAGACATCTACCTGCCAGGAAGCAGCTACCAGTGGAAGGATGTGAACACTGCGCAGGTATTTGATGGTGGTACCCTCCTGCAGGATTACCCAGTACCCCTGACCAACGTGCCAGTTTTTATCAGGCAGGACTCTTAGAGACAGCACACGGTATCCTAGGTCCCTGAAGAGACCAAAACCGTTCCGAATTCCTGGAGAAGCAGATTCCTTCCTGACCAGAGGATGACTGTCCATAGTCTACTGAATGTCAGCACATGTTTGAGAAAAGGCACCAGCCTGCCAGCTCTGTGGAAGGAAGCTCACAAATATTAACTCTTCTGTCTATCAATGTAACTCACATTGCCAAGAGGTTAACAGTGCCAGCACAATGTGCTTTGCGATAAAAATGAACTGCCTCCTGACTAACCAATCGATAGGGTATTCTTCAGGCACTGCAGACTTAGCTCGAGGCTTTTAGCCCCTGATTTAGGGTCTAGGCTTATGCCAGAGGCCAGGGATCGGATCAAGCCAAATTTCTCTATCTTTATCACAGCCATCAGCCATTTACATGTCACAGCCTTACAGATTACTTTAACACATTGATGAGAGTTTAAACGGTCACCAAGTTGGTCCCCAACACACACTCCCAGGACAGGGTTAGATACAGATTAAAGTTGACTCTACACTAACCCCAACAAACACTCCCAGGACTGGAACAGCATGGGGTTAGATACAGAATAAAAATCTTTCCATACTGTCCCCCATCAAACAGTCTCAGGACAGGGACAGGACGGGGTTAGATACAGAGGAAAGCTCCCTCTGTGGTACAACACATAGCATGCTTTTTATGTGAAGATTGATTTATAATGAAGTAGAAATTGTGCCTTTAACTGTCAGTCAATGCGATTACAATCTTTTTAAAGAGTAATTAAAATCTGTTTCCATTTATAGATGTGTCTTAAAAACGAATTGCTCAAACTTTTCTGCAAGTTGTATAAATCTTCATGTATCAAGTCACATGCCACGTCTTGAGGCTCTTGGTTTTGAATTTTGCGTTGATGCTCAATTCCCGAGAAGGGGACCTGTAAAAACATCTATAATATTCCAAAATTCAGTCAGAATCTGCTACTTGCCGCCTTCTGTTTTTGTGGTACAACTAGGTGTCTGTCTGTGACAGCACTGGGGCTCAGCTGGGGTGTCCTCCAGAGACTACAGACTACTATACCATCACTCCCCACCCCACGTCCCTGGATGCCTTTCATTTGTCTCTTCATCGTCACTTGGAAATGTTTTACTGTTAGTTCTGGCTTTGGGTCAAAATCCTGGACTTCACTTTGTCACAGCATTGTGGCAGTGGACAGCAGTGTTTCACCAGGGAAACCTTATTGAGGTCAAATGATGGTGGGTAATTAATAGCCAGCAATGCCTAACTCCTTGAGTGAATGTTTGGATTGTATAAAGGATGATGTTGAATTGCTTTATTAAACCTATGGGACTGCCAGAAATGCTGCAGTTTATTCACTGGAAGAATATGAGAGGGCATTCAGAATCTGCAGTTTCTCAGAGTTTTGGGAAGGAGATGGGGATTCTACCAACTGGTCACTTCCAGCAAGTTCATCTCCAGTTTCTCTTTACTCAAGTGTCACCAAATTGCAAAGCAGCTTTGAAGAAATATTTACCAAATGTCATGATATTACAAATTGCCACATTTAAGAAGTGACTTATTTAGAAGTGAGCTAATGAATGCAAAAAAGACATGATGTGGGGTGTTGGGCTGAGGTGGACAAAGTCAGATGTCACATGACATCAGGTTATAGTCCAACAGGTTTATCACACAACCTTTTGGAGCACTTCCCCTTTGTCAGGTGCACTGAGAGAGCAGAGCATACAGACCCACAGGTTATAGGCAGAGAGATCAAAAGATCATACAACTGGTGGGTATGGAGTGTCAGATAATAAGTCTCTGCGGGTGACCAAAAGTGTTAAATGGTGAGTAAAGTGTCAACAGCTGAATAACCAGCGAAGGGATGACCTATAATCTGATTAAGTGAGGCAGAGAGATAATTACAAAAATTTAAAAATATTGTGGTGCTGGAGACAAACTAAATGACTGGAATCGCATGCCGAATTCAAAACTTTACAAACTAATTAAGGTAGAGAGATCATAACCATTTATCAAGGTGATGTTTTCAAAACAAGACAGTGAGGAAAATTTTACAGATACAGAACAGTAAAGTGGGATCCCCAGTTACCACAGTTGAAAGCGGTACCACCACAGGGAAATCCATCATCAACTTAATTGACCACACCCTTCAACCAGCTGAAACCGAGGTTCTCAGCCAAGGGCTCAATTTCTGCCCTGCTACCAAAATGGACATCATGGATCTCACGGCAGACACAGAGGAATTCATCAGGCAAATGAGGCTCTGGGAATTCTTCCACAAACCCCAAGATGTCAGCAGCGAGCCCAATGAGACAACCAATGAACTCAAACAGTCGACAGAGAGATCCGTGGTGCAGTGACCAAAGAAGGAATCGAGTTAGACTCTTCCAGAAGGCTGCTGCGCTAGGTTCGACCTGTATGCTCAAGCTGTCGGGAGATGCATTCATAGATCATAGAATCCCTATAGTGTGGAAACAGGCCATTCAGCCCAACTAGTCCACACTACCCCTCCGAAGAGCATCCCACCCCGACTCATTCCCCTATCCCTGCATTTCCCCATGTCTAACCCACCTAATCTACACATCCCTGAACACCATGGGCAATTTAGCATTGCCAATCCACCGAACCTGCACATCTTTGGACTGTGGGAGGAAACCAGAACACCTGGAGGAAACCCACACAGACACGGGGAGAATGTGCAAACTCCACACAGCCCGAGGGTGGAATTGAACCCGGGTCCCTGGTGCTGTGAGGCTAACCATTGAGCCACCGTGCCGCATTAACGCCAGATTCATCAGCCGCACTCACAAGACAGCGCAGAACTTTACCCAAGCACAATTCAATGTCATCCATGCTCTCAAGACCAATTGCAACATTGTCATCAAACCAGCAGACAAAAGGAGGAGCCATCGTCATACAGAATAGAACAGACTACTGCAAGGAAGTGTACAGACAACTGAATAACCAGGAACACTACAGAAAACTACTTGCTGAACACACCCATCAACTAAACAGACTGATCAAGACTTTTCATCCAGACCTTCATCATCCCATGTACTTCTGACATAGGAGACTTCTACTGCCTTCCAAAGATACACAAAGCCAACACACCTGGACCTCCCATCGTATCAGGCAATGGGACCCTGTGTGAGAACCTCTCTGGCTACGTCGAGGGCATCTTGAAACCCATTGTACAAGGAACCCCCAGCTTCTGTCACAATACTACAGATTTCTTACAGAAACCCACCAGTCGAACCAGGAACATTATTCATCACAATGGACATCTCAGCACTCTACACCAGCATCCTCAACAACAATGGCATCGCTACGATAGCCTCAGAACTCAGTACAAAACAACTCACCCGCTTCATCCCCAACTGCAACTTCGACAACCAATTCTTCATCCAGACACACGGAACAGCCGTGGGAACCAAATTTGCATCCAATATGCCAACATTTTCATGCACAAGTTCAAGCAAGACTTCTTTGCTGTGCAGAACCTCTGACCAATGCTATACACCAGATACATCAACGACATTTTCTTCCTTTGGACTCATAGTGAGGAATCACTGAAACAACCACACAGTGATATCAACAAATTTCATCCCACCAGACTTACTGTGGACTACTGTTCAGAATCAGTCTTGTTCTTGGACACATGGATCTCCATCAAGGATGGACACCTCAGTACCTCACTCTACTGCAAGCCCACAGAAAATCTCACAATGCTGCACCTCACTAGCTTCCACCATAAACATATTAAAGAATCCATCCCCTACGGACAAGCCCTGCGCACACACAGGATCTGCTCAGATGAGGAGGAACGCGACAGATACCCAAAGGTATTGAAGGATGCCCTCATAAGAATGGGATACGATGCTCAACTCATCGGTCGTCAGTTCCGACATGCCACAGCGAAAAACTGCAATGACCTCCTCAGAAGATGGACACAGGGTACAACTGACAAAGTACCCTTCATCGTACAGTACTTCGCCAGATTGGAGAAACTACACCACGTTCTTTGCAGCCTTCAATACATTATCAATGAGGATGAGCATCTCGCCAAGATCTTCCCTACACCTCCACTTCTTGCCTTCAAATAACCGCCAAATCTTATGCAGACCATTGTTCACAGCAAACTGTCCAGCCTTCAGGACAACATTGACCACAACACCACACAACCCTGCCATGGCAACCTCTGCAAGACAATTCAGATCATTGACATGGATACTATCATCACACGTGGGAACACCACCCACCACATAGATGGTAGATACTCATGTGACTTAGCCAATGTTGTCTATCTCATAGGCTACAAGCAAGGATTTCCCGAGACATGGTATATTGGAGAGACCACTCAGATGCTACAAAGATAGATCGATGGACACCTGCAACAGTTGCTAGACAGGAATGTTCCCTCACAGTCAGGGAACACTTCAGCAGTCAAGGGCATTCAGCCTCCGATCTTCAGGTACATGTTCTCCAAGGCATATTTTGAGATACACGACAACGCAGAATCACTGAGCAGAAACTGATAGCCGAGTTCCGTACCCATGAAGACGGCCTCAACCGTGATCTTGGGTTCATGTCATATTACAGGTGACCCCACCATACTGTTCTGTCTGTAAAATCTTCCTTACTGTCCTGTTTTGACAGCATCACCTTGATAAATCGTGATGATCTCTCTACCTTAATTAGTCTGTACAGTTTTAAATTCGGCATGCAATTCCTGTCATTTAGTTTGTCTCCAGCACCACAATATTTTAAATTTTTTGTAATTATCTTTCTGCCTCACAATCAGATTATAGGTCACCCCTTCGCTGGTTATTCAGCTGTTGACACTTTACTCACCATCTAACACTTCTGGTCACCTGCAGAGACTTATTATCTGACACTCCACTCACACCAGTTGTACAATGTTTTGATCTCTCTGCCTATAAACTGTGGGACTGTGTGCTCTGCTTTCTCAGTGCACCTGACAAAGGGGCTGGGCTCCGAAAGGTTTGTGATTTCAAATAAACCTGTTGGACTATAATCTGGTGTCGTGTATACTTCTGACTTTGCTAAAAAGACACACAATTCCAGCTGTTGTATTGTGGGATTATTCCTGGCAGTAACAAAAGAGCCTGTCTGGAGCCTCAAGCACTGGATTGATTTTATTCAATAACATCCCTTTGCCTAGACCTTTGATAAGAATGAAAATTATGGGTTTTGCAGTAAATTTCTAGTTTGCGTACATGATGTTCCTTGTGTTCTTTATCTACTCTTATTTCCCACCTGATCCTCACCCATTCTCTCCCGTGACCCTCCATAGCTGCTTTCTGCCCACTTTCTCAGATTTATCTAGCTGCACTCCATAAATCTTTTCTAAAGCCACTTATATCTTTTTGGTTTCTTCAACACTAATCATTTTAGTTTCTCTTGGTGCCATCGTAATTGTTTGTTGAAACAACCTGCCATTCCCCTTGACTAGCCTTAATGAGACTTGTGTTCTGTCTTCACTGAATGCTTATGTTAGTGCCCAACCTTCTCCTCCCCACTCTGTTGGACATGGCTGAACTTGTTCTACATGTTATGAAGTCTATTGCTGAGACCACCCTCAATGGGGGAGAAATGAAAGTTGTAGGTGAAATTAAAGCTCTGTAAGGACTCTGTGAACCAAATGGCAAGGCATCCCTGTATCTGGATAGTACTAACCACATCCCATCCCTTCAGCCTCATTTTCTTACCTTGACTAACTGTCCACTCCCACATCCAGGTCTTTGTACTTCACTCCTCCATGACCCTGACCCTAATCCATCCTGTCCCTTTGCCCTCCCCTTGTCAAGTCACTCTTGCCCACCCTGAACCACTCTGCAAGCTGCCACCTCCCTCCCTCACGGTAAACAAAAGATGCTGAGCTCAGAGGTAAACAGCACAAAGCTGCCAGGATTTTCAGTTCCCAAATGATTAGATCAATCACTCTCTGCCACCGCCTCTATATTTCCATAAAATTCCCCTGTTGCTTCTGACCCTGCAACCTGCCTCAGCCACACCAGCCATGTGGTGTGTGAGAGCCCACAATGAATTTCCAATCACATAAGGAGGGAGCTGCAGTCAAGGAGAATGTGTGTCTTGGGAAATCCACTGACAGGGAGGGGCTGGTAGCTGCTGCAGTTAGTAACGATAAGGCGAAGCACTCGGCCACTGGTCCTTTATTGACCTTCAGTAGGCTTAAACCCTTCTCTCTGAAGCTTAGCTGTACAGCCAGGGACATCTTTATTCAGAGACCCAGTCCAGACTCCATTCTGGATGGGAAATATTGGCAATTATTGGACAATGGCAGGAGAAGGTGAGAGACAGAAACAAAGACCGGGAATTAATAGCTTCAATAGGAAGGGAGACGAGTGGGATCAGTCTGTCCTGTACAACCTCGTCATGACATGAACATCACACATCACACATCCCACTGTCTGTCCAACAACTCCCCCTGCAGGCTGCCAGGGTTTGCTGCAGGTTCTGGTTTTAAATTCACATCCTGACCGTTAACACTGAGCAACTAATTCAGAGACAGGCAAGATGAAGAAGCTCTCTTTAATTATCACAAATGGAGGTGAGGTTGTGAAGCAAGATTCATTGATAGCACCTCCCTGTGCACTAACCTCGGGTGAGACTCAATACAATTGCACCCCCCCCCCCCCACCAACTCCAAAAGAGGGCAGGGCTGTTCACACCACCACCAACCCCTCTCCACACACCCCGCCATCCCCAATCACCCTGAGCTCAGTCCAGCCTCTGTGATCTCTGAAACCGCAAAGACAGACAAAACATTCCACCCAGAATGGAAGTTCAGGGCTCCCAGGAAGAGTGGCAATGGGGGAAGAGTAATGCCAAGACGCCAGCTGTCAAACTATTCTGTGCCACGCTCCTGAAGGTTGCTCCGCAGTGAGCTGCACGGCTGTGGTTCATGTTACTGGCTGGGCCTGTTGTTCAAGTTGAACAGGGACAGGATATCGAGCATAGCCTGTCGGAAATGCTTCCCAAAGCGGTGAGAATCCTAAAGGCAAAGAGAAGCAGTCACCCCATTGTCTCCCAGAGCGCGCAGGTCATTAAAACCACAAGAGCTGGTGTTTCAAAGTATACCCCAAACCCTCCTCTATTTGGCTTCACTGACCTGGGGGAAAACGGGGGATAGTCAGAAGGCAACGAAAGGAGGGAGCGTGACAGATAGTGGAGAAGAGAGAGAGCAGGAGAGTTACAGCACAGGAGAGAGACAGAGAATTACAGACAGTGGAGGAGAAAAGGGGATTACAGATATTGGAGAAAAGAGGCGGGGCGGGGGGAAGTAGGATTAGGAATAGCGGAGGAGAAAGGGGAAGGGTGACAGACACTGGAGGAGAGACAGGGAAGGAGTGTAACAATAGAGGACAGAAAATATAGAGAGGGTAATAGATAGTAGAGGAGAGAGATAGGGAGGTAGGGTGACAGACAGTGTGGTAGAGAGACAGGAATGGTGAGATGGTGGAGGAGAGAGAGAGGGAGGGTGACGGTGCAGGAGACAGACAGAAATGGAGGCAGTGAAGATGACAGTCCATGAGAGAGAGAGAGAGAGAGCAAAAGAGAGGGAAAGTGACAGTGGAGAGAGACAGAACAGTGATAGTGGGGTGGGGGCAAGATAGATTGAGAGACAGTAGGAACAGGAGATTATTCAGAGTCAGACAGACAATAACTGTGAGCAAACAGCTTTCTCTCCATAAAGTGTGAGAAGTAGCGAGAAAGCCCCTGGTTTGGAGAGACTCTGTCAGGGTAATGTATTCAGTCTCGAAGCTGTGAATCTGAGGTAGCCCTTTCCCTCCAAAAGCTGAGCTGTCGGTCACTTTCCAGTGGAATGAGATTGACTCAGCCGCCCGAAACCTGCTCAGTCCCCAGTGTACAGTAAGGTAGTGTCCCCTTCACCATGACCACCCCCACCACCAACCCCACCCCTGGCCCACTAATGTCAACCAACAAACAATTCCCCTACCCCACTGCACCTGGTTTGGCTGGTGAGGGACTTACCGTCTCAGGACTGGAGAATTTACACGAGATGTGCATGTTGATGAGTGTCTCTCCAACCATAATGTATGAGACTCCATAACCATCATCAGCCACCTGCCAAAACACAGACAATGATCACACATAAACAGTGATTACAAACGGCATGAGAGACACCCTCCAAACACATGACCTCACACACCCAGACCCAGAGCCACCCCATCCAGCTCCCCGTCACTCTCACACCCACCTAGATGCCCTCCTCCTCTACCCAGAGCTCTTCCCATGCTCCATGCACAGAGTCTCCTACCTCTTGTCTGTTCCCTCCCATCCCCTCGCTCTGACCCTGTCTTGGCCCTGAATGAGGGACCCTCACCCACCCTCTGAGCTGCAGCAAATGGAGTTTCCACCAGGGCCCAGTCATGTACCTCACTCTGCGCCTGCCCCCCTCACTCTATTCCACTGGAGAGCAGGACCACACCTGCCTTTCTCCAGTGAATCAGGAGGAGGCAATCTGCCAAGTCTGGCTCACCCAGCAGAGGGAGTGAACGTCACAGCAGCACCCTGCTCCCCCCTCCATCAGCATAGTACTCACCGGGCCAAAACCCCCTCCGCTCGAGACATACTGGGGAAATCTGTTGACATCCACGAGGTCAAGCAGCTGGTGGGGAGTCTGGCTGGTGGACAGTTTCCAGGGCTCTGACAGTACCTGAAGGAGACATGCTGTTTTAACAGAGACACATACACACACACACGCACAGATCAGAGAGGGAGATCAGGAACTCTCCCACCACCATTGCCCACATGCCGGTCAGGCCCCACATGAGGGACCAATGAGCTCAGGCCAAGGGGTGTCGGTCTCTGTTTATTTGCTCATGGGTCATGGGCATTGCTGTAAAAAGTAGTTGCTGTGCAGTAGGTCAGACCAGGGAAGGGCGACGGATTTCCTTTCCCAAGAACATTGGTGAATGAGATAGGTTTTTACAGTCATTGTGATAATCATGGCAGCTGTTAAATTCTTCGTTTTATTATTTAAACTTAAATTCCAACAAGCACAGGCCCAGGATGTTAGGCTGAGCCTCTCGGTTACTAATCCCACTTGGCCACTGTTTCCTGACTCTGAAGTACAGATTGCTCAGGTTCAGTTCCTGGTCCAATGATTCCATTGTCTGGATCCAGACAGTCTGTGCTGCAGAACAAAAGGACTGCTGCACTGTCACAGCTGCCAGCTTTTGGAATGAGATATCCCAGCCTCCATGAAGGCAATTAACTGGTGCCATTTGATCCATTGCTTGTCGAATGGAGACTGCTTCAATTGTTTGGATCATTGCACAGTCCTGCAGCTCTCTAGGAAGGCAACGTCCAAATGCAGCTCCGTACAAAACAAGGGAGTACACAGTCCAAAAACACCCACCTCCTTCAGGAACGGAGACTCTACTCCTAAGTATTTGGACACCACATAAAGACAGAAGAGGTGCCGGTCGATGCCAGCTCCTGTCATGGCATGACGATACAGATCCTGATGTTTCTCCGCTGCCTGTTTAAACAGTTTCAGCTTCTGTTCCCTCTGAGAGTTAGACAGAAAGAAACACAATGAGGCAGACTCAATGATTCCCACAGAAAGTCATCACCATGAGTGTACCCCACTGTGCTGTGCAGAGACTTCATAAACAAGAGGATTGCAAAAACTGAAGATGGTAACGTTAAAGAAAATCCAAACTGATGTATTGGGGCAAGAGGATATCCGGGGAAAGAGTGGGGGGCCATTAGGATCCAGAGCAGATCGTGTGGAGCCGGAAGACTTAGCCAAGATTTTAAATGAGTACTTTTCTTCTGTATTCATGAGAGAGAAGGACAATGTAGGTATAGAGATTAGAGAAGGGGACCGTGATATATTGAATGAATTAGCATTGAGAGAGAGGAGGTTCTACTGGTTTCAGACGATTTCAAAGTGGATAAATCCTCAGACCCGATCCCAGGAGATTGCGGTGGCCCTGACATTCATTTTCAAATCCTCTCCTGCCACAGGAGAGGTGTCAGAGGACTGCATGACACCTAATGCAGTACGTTGTTCAACAAAGTGGTAGTGATAAACCAATAGTGATAGACCAATGAATCGAACATCAGTGGTAGGGAAATGATTTGAGAAACATTACAAGGGACAGAATCAATCTCTACTGGGAGAGGCAAGGATTAATTAAGGCTAGTTCAGCATGGCTTTATCAGGGGAGATCATGTCTGACAAGTTTCAGTTTTTTGAGGAGTTGACTAAGATGTGTCGATGAGGGCAGTGCAGTGGATGAAGTTTATATATGGACTTGGTGGAAATGCTCAGCCACTTAGGCAGCCTCTGCAGAGACAGAAGCTGTGCCAATCTTTCATCTGCACTGTAGTATATGACAGCTGTAGTCAGTGTGTCATTCTCGTATTAAACACTGCTCCCCATAATCCCAAATCTTCACTGTCTCTTCCCATTCATTCCTAAAACCCTACCCCTAATTGCCCATTGATGATTGTCTTGCTGTGCCATTGGGGAGGGGAGGGGCAGTTGAGACATTGTTGTGGGTCTGATGTCACGTGGAGACCTCACCAGGTAAGGATGGCAGATTTCCTTCCCTGAAGGACATTAATGAAACAGATGAAGTTTGTGAAATTATGCACTTTAGCTGCTGCCATTGTTAATCTCATTTAAAAGCAGCAGCTGTGCTGGGATTCAAGCCTATGCCCCCAGACTATCAGTTTGGGCTCCTGGATCACTAGCGCAGAGACGTTGCCAATACACCACCAGTTATTCTCAAATCAGTGCCCCTGCCAACACTGACAACCCCAGGGAGGTGATTACTCTAGAAATGTATGAAGGAAGCTCTCATGCTTTGAAATGGAGATGAACAAGCTTTACCGTCTGAGTTGGGTCCATCATGGCCAGTACAAACTTGGTGGCCTGAGTGCTGCAGGAACGAACAGTCTCAGTGCGGCCCTCTCTGAACAGCCGGGTCATGGAGGCTTCATACGTCAGACAGAAGGAGCCTTTGTCCTGGTGACACAACATACAAATGGCTTTAGGAAGCCGCGAGGGCATGCAGAGGGTGATTTAAATCCACCAAGCATCAAAGCTATTGACCAGCTGCATAGTTTACAGGGCCTCATCATTGTCAATGCTCACCTTTCTACTGGGCCAATCTACTCTCAACTTATTTCCCTGCATTTCTTTCAAACATCTCCTCACGTTCCAACTAAGTGGGTTCATCTTTCCCTCTATTAGAGAAGATCATTGATTTACTCCCCTCCACACACATAGCTTCTTTTACAAGTAAGGTTTCAGTGGTTCCCTGTTCTTTTTTAACAAATTTTGTCAGCATGCTTTCAGTGTGGAATCGCTAATTTCAATCTGGTTGACTCTCAAAGAAGTTGACCCTCTTTGTGCGGGTCTTGTTACAATGGTCTGCCCACAAGCCCCAATAGTGGTCTAACTCTAATCCAATAAAAACTCAACCACACTCTCCTTTACACCCGAGGCTCCTCAGCTGAAAGCCCACAATTATACTGTCATATTCACCAGCGTCTTTTCTCTCTCCTTTTCAATGTCTCAGTAGCCCTGCATCTCTCAGTTCATCATTACTCAGTACAAACATGTAGGTTAGCAGGAAGCCATTCTCCCCTCCAGCCCTGCTCCGCCATTCAGTCAGACATGGCTGATCTGATCACTCCACATTCCTGCACAGTCCTGATAACCTCTGACTTATATGGTCATCAAAAATCAATCTATCTCTGCCTTAAAAAAACAGATGTATAGATTCTGTGTCCACCATTTTTTGAGTAAGGGAATTCCAAAGGCACTCAGCCCTCTGAGAGGAATAAATTCTCCTCCTTGTCGGTTTTAATTGGTGCCCCCTTGTTTTGAATCAGTACCTCACTAGTCCTGGATTCTCCATTATGATCTCTCTGACTTGGTCGAACCCCTTCAGCATCTTATATGTTTTAATTAAGTCACCTCTGATCCTTCTAAGCTCCAGAGGATACAGACCAAGTCTGTCTGGCCTTTCCCAATTACACAATCCTCCCATTCCAGGAATTAGGCTGGGAAAAATATTTCCATCCATCCTTAAATTAGAAGGATCAACGTTGTAGACTGTGCTGCAGATGTGGTTCAGTCGTTTCTGTCACTGTGTCTGTCAGTCATTTAGACAGAGGCTAAGGAGGATTGATGAAAACAGACTGTACCCAGTAATGTGCCAGCTGCAGTGCCATCTGTACAAAGGCATCGGGGCTGATTCTGCACCGTTTGATGAGGCCTTTGCCAAAGTCATCGAAAGGGAAGGAGTGGAAGTCCACATCGTCAGCCAGTTGCTGCGCCACACTCAGAGACTGCGTGATCACTTCCTGACACTGGGGGAATGGGAGAAAACAGTCAGCCAGAAATTCATCAAAATTGGACAGAGGCTGTCCACAACAAACAACACTGTATCATCAGGGACAGAGACACACAACATCTGCAGCCTCACATGGTCTCTGTGAAAAGAGAAACAGAGTGAACATTTCGAATCCATCCTCACCCTGCACTCCCTCTGCCTCCTGTCCCATCCTCACCTTCCAGGATGTACATTGGGACCAGCTCACTCAGACTGAAAAGCACCATTCACCAGCATGGAAATTGTGGAGCTCAGGGTTGTTTTATTATGTACTAGCTAGATTGATAGAGAATTGGCTAGGCAACAGGAGACAGAGAGTTGTAGTGGAAAGGAGTTTCTCAAAATGGAGAACTGTGACCAGTGGTGTTCCACAGGGATCCGTGTTGGGACCACTGTTGTTTGTGATATACATAAATGATCTGGAGGAAGGTATAGATGGTCTGATTAGCAAGTTCGCAGATGACACTAAGATTGGTGGAGTAGCAGATAGTGAAGGGGACTGTCGGAGAATGCAGCAGAATATAGATAGATTGGAGAGTTGGGCGGAGGAATGGCATTTGGAGTTCAACCCAGGCAAATGCGAGGTGATGCATTTTGGAAGACCCAATTCAAGAGCGAACTATATGGTAAATGGAAAAGCCCTGGGAAAAACTGATGCACAGAGAGATCTGGGTGTTCAGGTCCATTGTATCCTGAAGGTGGCAACGCAGGTCAATAGAGTGGTCAAGAAGGCATATGGCATGCTTTCATTCATCGGACGGGGTATTGAGTACAAGAGTTGGCAGGTCATGTTACAGTTGTATAGGACTTTGGTTCAACCACATTTGGAATACTGCCTACAGTTCTGGTTGCCCCATTACCAAAAGGATGTGGATGCTTTGGGGAGGGTGCAGAGGAGGTTCACTAGGATGTCGCCTGGTATGGAGGGCTCTAGCTATGAAGAGAGGTTGAGTAGATTAGGATTATTTACCTTAGAAAGACAGAGGTTGAGGGGGGACCTGATTGAGGTCTACAAAATCATGAGAGGTATAGACAGGGTGGATAGCAAGAAGCTTTTTCCCAGAGTGGGGGACTCAATTACTAGGGGTCACGATTTCAAGGCGAGGGGGAAAAATTTAAGGGAGATATGCGTGGAAAGTTCTTTACGCAGGGGGTGGTGGGTGCCTGGAACACGTTGCCAGCGGAGGTGGTACAGGCGGGCACGATAGCATCAAAATTTAAGATGTATCTAGACAGATACATGAATGGGCAGGGAGCAGAGGGATACAGATCCTTGGAAAATAGGCGACAGGTTTAGATAGAGGATCTGGATCAGTGCAGGCTTGGAGGGCCGAAGGGCCTGTTCCTGTGCTGTAATTTTCTTTGTTCTTTGTTGTTGTGAGCAGTGGGAACCGGGATGGGCGACTGGTCTGACTGCACCCTGTAAGGCTGTGACACGACTCAATCAGGACCACAGGCTGGCTGGTCATAGTGACTGCCAACCCCCACTCAGGGAGACCGCAGGCCAGGCCTGGGAGCAGGAGGTCAGTGCTGCAGGTTTACTACTTTAATCTTCAAGGCCAGCCACAAACAGGGAACTCACCGGCTCACTGATCTCCCACTGCAGGCGCTGGGGCAGTGGAATCTGCCCATTAGCTTCCCCCTTACAATTCCCCTCCTCCGTGTATCCCAGCTGGAACTGGTCAGTGGCCAGGATCGACTGCAGAAGACAGAAAGACATCAACAGCGCAGAGACATTCATAAACTCCAACTCCCAGCGAGGTAGTGGTGGGTAACACAGAAGGTCCCCATCATTACACACCATCAGGGCTGACCTGCATGGGTTCTTTAACAGAACCCAAGGCAATAAATTCAGGTCTTATCAAGCAAACCCTCTCCTGTCAAAATACATTTTAAAAAATATACAGACAGACACTGATCCCATTATGGGAAGGATTAAGTATGAGAGGGTACCGCTTCTAGGTAATTGACAAGACCAGGAATGGTGACAGGAGGTGAACTCTCACACAAAGATTGGTTAGGGTCTGGAATGTACTGTCTGAGAATGTGGTGGAGGTAGGGTCCTTTGAGACTTACAAGAAAGAAAGAGGGATTGGATGATTTTCTGAAATGAGTAGGGTTACAGAGAGAAAATGTGTAAGTGACTCAAGGTCACTTGCTCTTGAGGGATGGGTGGGTAGGTGGGTGGGTAAGCGACACAGACATGGGAAGCTGTACCCAGTCTCCGAGCTGGGGTCCCACTGAACTCCCACATCCCGTAGAGTGCTCTGGTCCACGTCCTGATCTTGGTGCTGGTCTAGCCCAGCTCACTATCTCAATGTTGAAAGGTCTCTGTGACAAATCTCTCCCTCACTGTCAGAGCCACACAGTGAGGCAGTCTCTCTCTCTCTCTCTCTCCCCTCCCTTCTTCTTGGAGGGAGCTTTCCTGCTACAGTCTCATCCTGGTTACAGTTCCCATTCCCAGTGCATGATCTGCCATTTGAGAGAGAGATAACCCCAGTGGTTGCTATTGGGAAAGTGAGGGGTCTCCTACCTCCCAGAGGTGCCCAATGATCGGAGCATCTGCCCACGAGTGTTCAGCATTCAGACCAATCTTCCCGTTTTTAAAAATAATAAAACTTAAAGATTTATCAAACCACCTGCAAAGAGAGAGACATGGGTTTTTAGAAGCACTGACCAAACTGGTCTCCCTGTCCCACCCTCACCCCGCAACCCCTCCCAGAGGCCTTCATGCCCCATCCCACCCTCACTCTCTGCCCTCTCCCACCCCCCGGCTCAACCTACTCAATCCCTCCTCTCTGGATGAGCCTTTCTCTCCGGAGCGGTCCCAGTGATATCCTGTTACAATCCCATTTAAATGTAAGAACATCCTTCCTCAAGTATGGGAATCACAACAGTACTGAGTATTCCAGGGCCTGGCTCGTACAACATTCCTACACTCTGAGAAAACAAGGTGTAGAGCTGGACAAACACAGCAGGCCAAGCAGCATCAGAGGAGCAGGAAAGCTGATGTTTCGTCTAGACCCTTCTTCAGAAATAAAATTCCTACACTCTGACTGGTTTGTAATAAACACAACACGTCATTCCTTCCTAGTCACTGCACCTGCAAACTAACTCAATGCTTCACGTACAACCATAATGTTTTATTGTCTGTCACCACTGGAACAATATCACACTCTTGGATTCTTCCCATCACTTCCTTCATTGAACGTTGCAGAAAGGAGACGAGAAGCTGAAACTTCCCGTTGTTCACTGTTCAGGACTAGGAGGCAGGAAACAGACTGGGACACAGGAACACCACGTTATACCACTTGGGAACAGGGCGCTGATTGGTCAGGCTATCCTTGCCGTGGAGAAGAAGGAGGAACAGTTAACTGTCAATCTTCATTGCCAGAGCAGGCAGGTGGATTCTGATTGGTCAGTGTTGCCAGGGATGCAGCAGAGCTGGACTGTCTCCATGAGCCCTTTCACTTTTGTAAAGGAGGCAATGTCTGTACAAATTCCTTGTGTCTACATAAAACAGGGCAGTGTGTATTTGTGTGTGGTGCTTTGAGCACATGCACAGGCACTGCACTGTGAGCCTGGCTGATCATCGTAAGTTAGATTCCAGGCTAAGTCTCTGCATAGTCTGGATTATTCAGTAAGTGATTTCTAATCACACAATCATATCTAATGGTGGATTGACTCTCGTGAGGATTACAAATGCAAGCTGGTTGTTGCTCGGGTGAGACACAGTGCCACAATCTGTTAAGCAGACTCAATGGGCTGAAAGACCTATTTCTGAGCTGTACACCTCTGAGTGAAACTGAATGAGCCTTATGCAGCATGAGATAGAACAAGCTGATAACAAGGTTATGAATGTACATCAAGCTCTCCACCAAAGGCTGCAGCTTGTACATTGCAATCTCCAAATTGAACCCATTATCTCCCCTTTAACCAGGGTTCAGCAAACATTTTTTTTGAAGAAGGGTCCTGATCCAAAATGTCAGCTTTTCTGCTCCTCTGATGCTGCCTGGCCTGCTGTGTTCCTCCAGCTCCACACTATGTTATCTCCAGCAAGGACGTCCTGGGTGGGAGATTTGCTAGAGCTCTTCGGGAGGGTTTAAACTAGTATGGCAGGGGTGTAGGAACCAAACAACAGGCCAGTAAGTGCAGGGACAAAAGGGAGACTGAGGTATGCATAGCACAGAGTAAGAGCAGGCAGAGCAAAGTCATGGGGTTCAGAGAGACTGGAGGTCTGGAGTGCATATACTTCAATGCAAGAAGTAGAACGGGTGAGACAGATGAACTAATATCATGGATTACTGCATGGAATTATGATGTTATTGCCATTACGGAGACGTGGTTAAAGGAGGGACAGGACTGGCAGCTTAACATTTCAGGATAGGGCTGTTTTAGAAGGGACAGAAAGGGAAACAAAATGGTGGGAGAGTTAGGGATCACATCACAGCTATGTTGAGGGAAGACACATCAGAGGGATCCTGCAGTGAGGCATTATGGGTGGAACTCAGGAAAAGGAACAGTGAAATCACAATGTTGGCAGTTTTCTATAGACCTCCCAACAGCCCACGGGAGACAGAGGAGCAGATGTGTAGTCAGATACTAGAAAGGTATAAACAAAGTAGTTATGGTGGGTGACTGAAACTTTCCTCTCATTGACTGGGACTCCCTTAGAGCCAGGAGCTCGGATGGAAAGCAATTTGTTAGATGTGTCTAGGAGGGCTTTTTGAGACAGTATGTTGACAATCCAACCAGAGAGGAGGCCATACTAGACTTGGTATTAGGGAATGAGCCAGGACAGGTGAATGATGTTTCAGTAGGAGAGTATTTTGGGCTTAGTGACCATAACTCCATAAGGTTTCGTGTAGTCATGGACAAGGACAAGAGTGGCCTTTGGGTGAGGTTTAATTGGGCAAGGGCTAATTACATCCAAATTGGACAAGAACTGGGGAATGTGCATTGGGAGCAGTTATTTAAGGGCAAATCTACATCTGGCATGTGGGAGGCTCTTAAAGACCAGGTGATTAAAGTGCAGGACGTGCAGGTCCCTGTGAAACTGAAGGATAGGAATGGCAGGATCCAGGAACCATGGAAGACAAAGGGAAATTGTAAACTGAGTCAAAAGGAAAAAGGAAGCATATGATAGGTCTAGGCAGTTACAAACTGATGAAGCCATTGAGGACTAGAGAGAAATTAGGAAGGAACTTAAATGCAAAATTAGGAAGCCTACAAGGAGCCATGAAATGTCTTTAGCAAACAGGGTCAAGGAGAAAGCCAAGGATCTTTATGCATATATTAGAAGGAAGAGGGTAGCAAAGGAAAGAGTAGGCCCACGCAAGGACAAAGGAGGGAAGTTATATGTGGAGCCACAGGAAGTGATAGAGATCCTTAATAAGTACTTTGTATCAGTGTTCACTGAGGAGAAGGACATGACTGATGCTGAGGTCAGGGATGAGTGTGTGAATACTGTAGAGAACGTCAATATCTTGTAGGAGGAAGTTTTGAGTATCCTAAATTGGATTTAAGGTAGAGAAGTCCCTGGGACCAGATGGGATCTATCCCAGGTTACTGGAAAAGCAAGGGAAGAAACAGCTGGGCCATTAGCAGATATCTTCACGTCCTCTTTGTCCACAGGCGAGGTTCCAGAGAACTGGAGATTAGCCAATGTTGTTCCCTTGTTTAAGAAAGGAAGCAGGGATAATCCGGGAAATCCGGGCTGTCTGTGGGGGGGAAGCTCTTAGACAAGATACTGAGGGACAAGATATGTACACATTTGGAAGAAAATGGAGTAGTTAGCGACAGGCATGGTTTTGTATGGGGAAGATCATGTCTGACCAACCTGATCGAATTTTTTGAAGAGGTGACCAAAGAGGTTACTAAAGAAGTTACCAAAGGTAATTGATGAGGAAAGAGCTGTGGACGTAGTTTATATGGACTTTAGTAAGGCATTTGATAAAGTCTCACATGGCAGATTAGTACAAAAACTAAAAATCACATGGGAAATTCAGGGTGGGCTGGCTCGATGGATACAAAACTGGCTTGGTCCTAGAAGACAGAGGGTAGTGGTGGAAGGATGTTTTTCAGAATGGAGACCGGTAACTAGTGGTGTTCCATAGGGATCAGTCTTAGATCCTCTGCTGTTTGTAGTATATATAAATGATCTGGAGGAAAAATGTAAGTGGTCTGATTAGTAAGTTTGCAGATAACACTAAGATTGGTGGAGTTGCTGATAGTGCTGACCATTGTGAAAGGATACAACAGGATATAGATAGATTGGCGACTTGGGTACAGAAATGGCAGATGGAGTTTAATCCAGACAAATGCAAGGTGATGCATTTGAGGTTCAAGTTTATGTGTGAATTATACAGTGAATGGCAGAACCCTTAGGAACATTAACATTCAGATGGATCTGGGCATGCAGGTCCACAGTTCCCTAAAAGTGGTAACACAAGTGGCCAAGGTGATTAAGAAGGCATATGGCATGCTTGCCTTCATCGGCTGGGACATGGAGTACAAGAGTTGGCTTAACATGTTGCTGCATAAAACCCTTGTTAGGCCACATTTGGAATATTGTGTGCAGTTTCGGTCAAAGCGAAAGCTTTGGAAAGAGTACAGAGAAGTTTCACCAGGATGTTGCCCGGTTTGAGAGCAATGGCTATGAGGAATGGTTAAAAAGACTAGGACTGTTTTCACTGGAAAGACAGTGGCTGAAAGGAGACCTGATGGAGGTCTACAAAATGATGAGAGGTATAGATAGGGTGGACATTCAAAGGCCTTTTTCCCAGGGTTGAAGTTTCAATTACAAGGGGACACAGGTTCAAGGTTAGAGGGGGAAAGTTTAAGGGAGATGTGCGAGGAAAGTTTTTTTTACACAGAGTGGTAGGAGCCTAGAACACACTGCCAGAGGAGGTGGTGGAAGCGGGCACTTTGGTGACATTTAAGAGGCACCTGGATGGTTACATGAATATGGAGGGAATAGAGGGATACAGACCGAATAAGAGCAGAAGGTTTGTTTTTTAGATTAGTTAGGGCGTGATGATTGGCACAGGCTTGGAGGGCCGAAAGGCCTGTTCCTGTGCTGTACTTCTCTTTTATTCTTTTTGTTCTTTTGATGTTGTGGGCCTGAAAGATCCCCTGAAGAATCTGGCCCTATTTATCCTGTGGAACATCTGACAAATGTGATCCTGAGGTAATATCCAGACATGTAAACCTTGCTGTGGTCATATTGACCAAACCTCATCACAGGAAAGATGTGGAAGCTTGCTTAAAAGAGGATGCAGAGGAGATTTACCAGGATGCTGCCTGAACTGGAGGGCAGGTCTTATGAGGAAAGGTTGAGGGAGCAAGGGCTTTTTTCATTGGAGCGAAAAAGGATGAGAGATGACTTGATAGAGGTTTACAAGATGATGAGAGGCATAGATAGAGTGGATAGTCAGAGACTTTTTCCCAGGGCGGAAATGACTATTATGAGGGGGCATAATTTTAAGGTGATTGGAGGAAGGTATAGGGGAGATGTCAGAGGTAGGTTCTTCACAGAGTGGTGGGCGTGTGGAATGCGCTGCGGCAGTGGTAGTGGAGTCAGATACTTTAGAGACTTTTAAACGACTCTTGGATAGGCACGTGGATGATAGTATAACGT